TGATGAGATCGCTTTGGAAAAAAATAAAGGGAGCACGCCATACTTTGAAGAAAAAAGAAATTTCATTACCATTCCTAAAAAAAAAAAAACCCGAGCTAAACAGCTCGAGAAAGTTCAACAAGAGATATAAAAGGGCACAACCGCCCAAGAAGATCTTTTCAAGACCGGGTTCTAGCTCCCGGGAGCCACTAGCAATCAGAAGAACAGAAAAGCAGAGTCGCCAGACTCAGGGGTCCACCTCGTCCTCGTCCTCGTCCTCCGGGGAGTCAGGCTCTTCCTCCTCCGCCTGGTCCGCCGTCTTAGGAGCCATGCCCTTCATTGTGATGCCATCAAGGTTGAGCCTAGAGAATTTTTTCCGACCAACCAATGGTAGAGCTTGAATCCAGAGCGGTATGAGCTCGAGCCATACTCCACTTGGARGTCGTGATACTCCTGGGAGTCCTTGAAGTCCCAGACCGCCCTCTCCCACTCGGCCTCCATCATGGTGTCGAAGTTTCGAGTTCGGTCCAGAAGTGTGTCTCGAACCTGTTGGCGAAGAAGCTCCCTCTCCGCAGCCACCCTCGACGACTCCTCCCTGTAGCGCGCGCTCTCCTCGGAAAGTCTGGCGATCTGTGCCTCCTGGTCCCAGACGAGCTGCTCCTGGGACTCGCTCCCCTTGCGAGTGTGAAGGAGCTCGCTCTGGGTCCGGTCGAGCTCGCCCTGGAGGTTTTGAACGATGACCCTTTGATTGTGAGCGTCACCGGAGTGGATGTTCGTCTGGAGGGCCATGGCGTGGATGGCGGAGTTCACCTGCCAATAAGAGACTAAGGTCAGAAGGCAGCAAAAGGAAGCGAAAAACAAGGAAAGGGGAAGGACCACTTACTACCATACAGTGAGTGGAGGCGAGCGTAGCGAGATCCCCGGGCTCTATCTCCCCCCACTTAGCGATCTCCTTGTGGCAAATCGCCCTTTGGCTCTTCCGCCTGGCCACTACATAATCATTAATACCCTCCCAGTTCCCCACTGGGAGCCGCGTGTAGGGAAACGAATGAGAAGGACTAGGAGCAATCACCCCTTACTGTGGGAGCTCGCCCTCCTCGATGCCAACTCCGCCAGCACCTCCTTCAGATGGAGGCAGCAGAACTTCAGGCGGTGGAGAAGTGAAGTCTGGCTCCGCAGACCCGAACTCAGTACCCCCAGAGGTGGGAGTCCGGTCAGGACGTGATCTCTTCACTTTGCGCTTCTGGTTGCTTGAGAGGAGGCGGTGCGCATCAACACTAGACATGATGCCTGCCAAAAAACCACAAGATATTAGTTCGGTAAGAAACAAAATGTATGTATACACAATATTGTTACAAGGCACTACGCGACCTAAAAAGGCAACCTATCCGGGCTCAAGCCGGCCTACGCGAGCTTCTCCTCGATCAAGTAGTCCAAATAGAGGAAGCCTACCAATGCCCAGGACAACATCGTTTTCCGAATTTCAGGGTCTAGCTCGGCCCTGGGGTCCTGGATGGCGCCCCTCCAAGAAGTTGGAAAGGGCCACCCTTCGGGGTTACGAACCACAAAATAATCCCGCTTCCAGGTGGGAATCTTGTTTGGCAGCTCGTACAAGAGCTTATAGCCACGATAGGGAGAGAGGTAGTAAAAACGCCTTCCGGAGGAACTCCGGGAGCGGCATTTTTGATACAGAGAATAGAAGCAAAAATGTCAAGTTTCAAGGGGAGGCAGTACTCATAACACAAAGAAATGGTCCCAACCATGTTCCGAATAGCGTTGGGATGAAGCTGATCGATGGTAACATTAAAGTGGTTTAGCACCTCCACTATTAGGGGGTGCAAGGGAAGACGCAGGCCAACCTTAAGTTGTTCCTGGAAAATAACTATATCGTTGGGACCATGCTCCCAAGGGAAGTTATCAGTGGAGAGACTGTAGATGAGGTCCCCAGGAAGGTGAAAATAGCGGATTAGAGACCTGAGTCTCTCCGCTGTCATTAAGGAAGGACCGAAAGTGTCGGGCTCCCTCCCCGAAGAAGTAGAGGCCACATCACCGGAGGTCTCCCGAGCCTCCGGAACCTGCTCCCAAGCTCCCCCCGAGCTCGCGGGAGCGTCGTCGTCCCGGTAATAAGTATGGTATGGATACCCAGACATGATTGACAGTGATTGAGACTCACCGAAAAAGACGAAACGAAGTGAACGAAAGAGCTCGGGTAGACTAGATGGATGTGCGACCTCAGAATCTGAAGACAGCAAGATAGCATGAAAGGAAATGAGGCTCAGGGGGCCCTCCTATTTATAGTCACTACGCCTCCGAATCAACGACCCAGATTGAGGCAGATCTGACGGTTCGCAGTCAAGCTGACCGCACACCTTCTGGAACCAAAATGTGACTGGCTGCACGTCTCCCATGATTAAGGTAGTGGCGGCTGCACGACATCCAGAGTTAAGAGCCGCTTCAGCACGTTTTCAGTATTCGAAAAGTCATAAATCCCCTGATTCCCGCGAGCACATTTAATATGAGCAGTCAATCAAGTTTGAATTTTGATCAAATCAACCTGTCACACTTCATGAACTCCTCACGCTAAGACATCACTCTTAGCCCGAGGAGTGGGGGGCAATTGATGGAGGATGATTTGACCCGACCTACTGAGACGATGACACGTGGACCTGACTCAGCACGAGCAACAAATCAGCATCATGGCCTGACCACAACTAAGTAACGAACCTGTAGAGCAGCTCGCTACGACATAGCTCGCTATAGGGGGAGCTCGCAACAACACGAGCTCCAGGTCCGCCGAGCTACTGAGAAGGGAATACTCCAAGACTATTTCAGCTCACGAGCCAGGGAAACCAGCTCGCTTCAACACCTGGGCAGAAGAACTGCCWCAAAGACCGACCTTGATGAGGGTCACCTCGAAGTACCCCTAAAAGCTTGCTACAAAGTAGCTCGCGGCAAGGATAGCTCGCTACAAAGTAACTTGCGACTGAGTGATGCGACGCTCTCAGGAAGCTTCTATCTGACAAGACCGTACCGGTAAGACTGCACCACGTCTCTTGACTGGCGGCGCAGTCCTTGTCCTTTCGACAGTCTGCACCCCCGTCTCTCGGCAGATGGAGGCATGCCTAACCCTTTGGGACGTGTCACTCAGCCAGGCGGATAGTACACTATGACGATCACCTGCGCAGACCTGGCAGGTAACGGCTGCGACAGGAGCCCAGTTGCGGTTATGCCCGATTTGACAAGAACGCCCCTCTAAAAGCCTTTTAGGCGAAGGGGAGATGACACACTCTCACACATTCACTCGCTTTGAAATTTTAATTTGAACTTGAGTTACCTTACTTGCTCACGAGCACAGTAATCTAGCACGACCTACACTCTTAGCCTTCCACACTCTTTTCTTCCTCTCCAACGTTCTAACTTAAGCTTCAGAGTATTCCCGACGGGCAAATGCCCGGGAATCCTTCTTTTTCGTCTTCTCAGGTGTCGTCCGTTGCCAACAAGGAGCCAGTCAGCAGCCAGTTAGGAGTGCTCAGATCATGCCGCATCAAAACCTTTTGCAAACATTTTGTGAAACCGTAATATATATATATATACATATATATATATATGTATATATATATATGTTTTGCAAAACAAATTTCAACACTTTGAAATCAACTACCGGCAGTTTAGGTTTCCATAAGAGATAGTGCATTCCCCGATCATTTACTTTGTCCGACAAAGAGGCTGATCGTGTAACTATGATCACCCACTCAAGTGAATTCTCGGATTGCCCCAACATACTAGGTTTTGACCCCTTTGAGGATCTTATTGATTGGCATATCAAAGGTAGCACAATCCGACACCTAGTGCAGTATCATAATCGAGTCTAGGGGTCAAGTGTAGCATTCCGGTTTCGCCCATCTATCTCCAAGGTCTAAGGCAATACTGGAATTTGGTCCGGTTCAGGGTTTCAAGCAAACCCACACTGCATGTACCTCAGGTCTCACCCTAGCAGCTGAGACAAGCCACCCCAACCAACTTGGCGGCATATCAATATCAGCCTTGAAATGCTAAATTTCCCCAGATTTATCCAACAACTGTGAAGATTCTAAATTAACACGAGTCTCATAAGTGTCTAGTTTAAGGGTATTATACATAAACACACCAATATAACATAAATCAAATATGTATTTTATTCATTTACAATAAATGTCATAATATACATCAATTTGATTGGAGCTAAGGGCATACACTATCTAACACCAGCTAGACTGAGCCTCAAATAGCTCAACTGTATGCACCGATCTGCCAAGATGCCACATAACCTCTATCTAGAAGCAAGCCAACTGTCTCCGATCTCTTTAGGATCACGACACCACGTCAACGAAGTTCATCTTCTCACCACCCGATTCGGACGGACCTGGATAAGCCTTATCAGCTTACGCAGAGTTCGTCTTCGGGTACAAAACCAACTCCGGACCAGATGGGCCGAGGATTTCGGACACATATCGTGAGGCCCACGGTAGCTCACCTATATAAAGGTTTCACCTCCAGCCTCACAAAGTATGCACGATTCAGCTCTCTTAGTACTCAGCAATATTGCTTTCAGCTCTCTCAAAAACCTCCAATTCACTAACTTAACCATCGGATTGCCCACATTAGTTAATTTACCTCGGACACTTTGACCTCCTTTTCTTACAGCTCGACTAGACAACCTCACTAGCCCGACGCCCGAGCTGTCCTCCAACAGGGAGCGCCAAATCGAAGATCATCATTTATCATTGGTTCTAGAGCCCGCTGAACGGATAAAATGCGAGTTCCCTTCGTACATGCCATTGTTGAGCGCAGTTTGATGCTTTAGTTTAGGGTTAGGGGTCAAAAACAAAACCAACCTACCTTGTTGTCCTAACACCCCCCTAACTGAATGCAACGTGATTTCTTGATCTAAAGAAGAGGATTTGTTGATCGATCGATCAGAGCGCTACGTTAAAATAAAATCATCAATGTGGTAAGAGAGAAACATGGGGAGACCGGAAGAATCACAGTAAAATTTAATTGGGTTGTAATTAATTAATCAATTGCTAGTTGAGAGTTGAGACCACATTTTCCACCTCAATCCAACTAAAACCGGCTTCTTTTCTGAATCCTCTTTTCCTCATCAACTCCCTTAGTGCACTCACATCACTCCATCTCCCATGAGATGCATACATGTTGGACAGCAATACGTACACCAATTCATTGTCACCTTCCAACTCGATTATCTTGGCAGCTGCAACCTCTGCAACCTTCAGATCCCCACAAGCTCCACATGCACCAAGCAAGGCCCTCCACACCAACCCACACGACCCATATCCCAATTCATGTATCAACCACTCTGCCTTCCACACCTCCCCTCTTTGTCCCAACAGACGAATCATGCAAGAACAGTGCTCTGGCATTGGATCCATCCCATATTCCCTGATCATCGACTCGAGGTAGTGTGTTCCAAGATGTGATAACCCTTCATCTTGCCCACACGCTTGTAAGACACTAAGAAATGTGATTCCGTCCGGTTGCAAGTCCGACGCCGTCACCAACTGCTCAAACAGCCTCATCACTTGGTTTGCATTGCCGTTGTGTGCATAGCCTGATATCATCGCATTCCAGCATACTAAATTCTTTCTAGGCAACACACCGAATATAGATTCAGCTTTGTCAACCTGCCCACACTTGGAGTACATGTCGATCAAAGCACTTCCGACGACACTGCATGTATTCAAACCAGTCTTGATCGTTCTACAGTGAATTAATGTCCCCCATGTTAGAGCTGAGAGGCCTGCAATGCCTCTTAGAATGCTAGAATACGTGAATTGGTCCATTTCAATGTCTTTCAAGTGCATCTTAGCGAATAAACCCAGTGCTTCTGGCAATCTGTTCCGGTTTATGTAGCCACTGATGATACAATTCCATGAAGAGGAGCTGGGGCTGGGCATTTCTTCAAGAAAGCGAACAGCATCTTCGATGTGTCCTAATTGGGCAATTCCATTGAGCACTTCGTTGTATGAGATTGTATCAGGAGCAGGCATCTGAAGCAAAAGTTTGAGTGCTTCTTCGAATCTTCCATTCCTGGCGGTTGCCCCTACAACTGAATTCCAAGTTACTGTATCCTTGTCTATCGTCTCGTCGAACACCTGGATTGCTTCGTCCGTAGAGCCACATTTGCCATACATGTCGATTAAACAGTTACCAACTACGACATTCCATTCCAAACCGATTTTTAATATCTTCGAATGGATCGACCTTCCCAATTTTAAGAGACCCAATTGGACACAAGCAACCAGCGACGCAGAGAATGTGAACGAATCGGGCCGCAAGTCCGACCTGTCCAACTCACGAACCAAAGCCAACGCCTTGTGGGGCTGCCCGCCGTGCACGTACCCGGAAACCAAAGAATTCCAAGAAACTACATTTGGATGAAGAATCTCAACAAACAAGTTGTGGGCATTATCGAATAGCTCGAACTTGGAATAAAAACTGATAATAGCGGTTGAAACAAAGACATTACAAATGAAGCCAGAGTGTATGATGTAGCAGTGGAGCTGCTGACCGTAGAAAATCCAGCCCAAATTCGTTGAAGCCCGGATCATACAGACCAGAGTGTAGCTATTGGGTTTGATTCCTAACTTACGCATCCGGGAGGCCTCAAACAAGGCCATCTCGCTGCTAGAGCTGCATCTAGCAAGGACCGAGATGAGATTGGTCCATGGAGTTACATCCTTAGCACCATCGCTTCTTCCAAAAGCATAGTTCCTAATAATATTTTTGGAAAGAAAGGAGTGGAGTTGCTGTGGCTGTCGTAGGAGTGATTTCTTGGTTCCCTTCAGTAGAGATCTTTGCATTAGAAAGCATAATGACTGACGGATTTGGGTTGAGCTTTTCGTTCTCCTTCTGTTTGTATTCGAAGCCGGGGTGATGAGTTGATGATGTTAATAATAGAGAGTGTGGCAACCTTGATAATAGTTATGCATTTTTGGTTGCTTCAGTAATCAGTATGGGAAGGTTAGGAATCAATTCAACTTGTGCAAAAAAAGCTCAGTATGACCATTTGAATCGATGGGTGAACAATTTATTGAAGGCTCTGAATCCTCTGAATCTGAAGGCCTGAGAAATGGGCTGACTGACTGATGGCCATTTTAAACTGGGCCTTTGCAAGAATAATACAGTACAATATCTTGTATTAATTCTATAAGCAGAAAAAACTAAAACAAAACTTTAAACGATTCACCAACTAACCAACCCTTTGTTTGATGCACTTCACTCCCAATTGGGATCTGCTCCTCACAGAGCGCGCTCCCAAATTTGATTAAGGTAAACTCGAATCTACTAACTTTATGTCATTGTTTATAAAATGTTTACTTCAATTCTTTAGTTTGACAATAAGACGGAACTCATATTAGCGTGCAAATCATTTTTTAGACCAGACCAATAGCAATCTGCCATGCCAGCCGGTCTTACCCATTTCAAAATTAAAGCAATTTTTCTAGATGGTGTTGTAAATTGATATTGATTGATGCAGGGAAAGGAAGGAAAAGGCAGGGAAATATATACAAATCAAACATAGCCTCAGTAGAACATGTTTTCTTCATGCGTCTTGCGTCTTGAGAAAACTCTGCAACTGCAAGTAGGGGTGTCAATTGGACTGGATTTGGTCCAACCCAATCCAGTCCAATGTTAGTCTATTACAAATTGACTAGGTCCAATCCAATGAATATTTTGGACCGGTCTAATTCAATGTCTGGATCATCCAATTTGTTCAAATTCGTTTTAATTTAGATTGGTTTCAACCCAAACCCGGTCTATTGACACCTATATTCTTATCTTATATCAATGGACCAGATATTAACTTAATCCAGCCCAATCCAATATAAATTTAATACAGACAGATCAGGTACAATCCATATAAATATTTTGGACTGGATTGGTCCAATCCAATATGACTTGTTGGTCCATTCAATCCGTTCAAATTGATTTTGGACTGGACGGAGTCCAATCCAAAACCGGTCCATTAACATCCTTATCTACAAGTAGTCAAGATAAATCGTGGCCATGTAATCTTTTCTTTTCCTCCACTTTGAAAAACAATTTCATTGGATATATACAGGTTCAGACTGTTCAGTGCTTTTCTCAAGCTGATTCTCCTCAGATGTTAGGTGATAGGTCTTGATCCATCCATTATTCCCATCCTTGTTTTGACACAGTAATAAAGTCTAGAGTACTCCAGAGGCTGCTAGGAACATAGAAGTCTCTTCTGTATATACTTTCCATACCATCGTTTCCTACTGGAAAAAACACTCTCCCGAGAAAATTAATCATCCACCAATGAATTGAAGGTATTTGTTTTACTTTAAAAAGCAGTACCACTTCATAATTTATATGCGTTATTGGAGCCTTGCCTTTCGACCGTTTCTTTTCTAGCCTTCAAAGACAACTTTCTAATCCATAGAATCCAAACAACTAGCTTCCTGAATAATTTTTGAATCAAGTCCACTAGTACTTTCAAAGTTTAAGTCACCTTTCAAATTGAACCAAGTAACATAACGGGATTCCGTAGCTTGAAGAATTGGCTTAAGAGCAGTTACAATAAAAATGCAGTGATGCAAATGCATGGCAATGCAAATGCATGGCAATGCAAATGACAAGAATACAACTTCTGATTCACTTTTTCTTCTGGCTTTACTTCATTTGCATTACAAACAAACAGAATAAAATAAAGCCTTAAATTAAACCAAATTTTGTTCTCAAATCATTTGCACCCCCCATACTTTACACCGCCTAATTAGTTACAGACAGATAAGAGGAGCATAGAAAAATAGAAAGTGAAAGTTAAACAAAAGAGAGAACAAGAAGTATTTGGCGCAGTGAATTGGCCATTGGCCTTGCATGTATTTATAATGGAGGAAGTGCTACAAAGAGAGGACTCTATCCTCAGTAGGATAACAATTATCGTAACTCCTAAGGATAAGTGTTATCCTATGGATGGAATCCTAGATGAACATGAGTGTAATAGTGTAACAACTGGATATAATCTAATACGCCCCCTCAAACTCCATGCTCATCATGAACATGGAGTTTGTCCCGCAAGAAGCGAAATTGATCACCGGCAAGTGGCTTGGTGAGAATGTCAGCAACTTGATCTTTGGAAGAGATGAACCGCACGGTAAGCCGTCTGGAAAGAACAAGACCTTGGAGAAAGTGAAAATCAACCTCAACATGACGAGTTCGAGCATGGAACACAGGATTGGCCGCAAGGTAGGTGGCACCGATGTTATAACACCAAATAGTAGGTATCCTAGAGAGATTGACGCCAAGATCTCGAAGAAGGGAGGAAATCCATAGAACTTCAGTAGCAGATGTAGTACAAGCACGAAACTCAAACTCAATGCTGGAACGTGCTACTGTGGCACCAAATAGTAGGTATCCTAGAGAGATTGACGCCAAGATCTCGAAGAAGGGAGGAAATCCATAGAACTTCAGTAGCAGATGTAGTACAAGCACGAAACTCAAACTCAGTGCTGGAACGTGCTACTGTGGCCTGTTTGCAAGAGCTCCAGGCAATAAGATTAGGCCCTAAATAAATAGCAAATCCACCAATAGATCGTCGGTCATCCAGACACCCGGCCCAGTTAGCATCTGAAAATGCATGAAGTGTAAGAGGAGTAGACAACGACCGAGAGATGTGTAGACCATGCATAATGGTGTGTTTGAGATAACGCAAGATGCGTTTGACAGTTGCCCAATGAACATCAGTAGGAGATTGGAGGAACTGAAAGACCTTGCTGACTACGAAGGAGATGTCTGGACGGGTGATAGCAACATACTGAAGGGCTCCAACAATACTTTGATACTCAGTAGGATCAGGAAGAGGAGAGCCATCATTCTGAGTAAGCTTGGGGTGAACAACCATAGGAGAGGAAATTGGTTTAGCAGCATCCATTTGAGACTGTTGTATCAGATTTGTAATGTACTGACGTTGACTGAGAAGTACCCCATTTGAATGCCGAGGAATTTGAATACTAAGGAAGAAAGCGACAGGTGATAACTCTGCATTTTGATGCCTTAAGAGCATCAATTCAGGGGTATTTTTGGCCTTAGATTAGTCAAATTGTGTCATTTTCCCAGTCAATTTAAATGTTGTGACCTCTGAGGGTATATGTGCAAATTTTGTGCAAAACTGAGAAGTTTTCATGGCTGAAATGTAGATTTTGGGAAGCTGATGTGAAGTCTAGCTGAGAAAGGGGGTGTTTTTGTGAAAAACTGAAAGCAGGAGGGCGCCTCCTAGCTGCTAAACCCAGTTTAGCGCCCCTCCTAATGTATTAGCATGCTCCCCACGTTTTAGCAAACCCTATGGCACCTTTTAACCCATTCTTTTCACTCTTAGCAAACCCTAGCCACCCCTAGCTGATTAATCTCCACCATCCATTTTAGGGCACTCTTTTTGTAGTTTTTAAACCCTAGGGTGCCACCTAACTGCTAATCCTCACCGTTCAGCCCCTAACCACTAGATCTCAGCCCTCCATTCCATCTTATATCTTAGCCATCCACTCTAGGGCACCACCCACCTCTTTAAATCTCCTCCTTTCAATCCTAGGCGCCTCAATCTCCTCCATCCATTTCTGGGCGCCCAAATCTCAGCCCTACATAATATTGGGTGCCCTCTTATTCTATTCTCAGTCTTAGGATCACTCCAAAACCATCCTAACCCTCCTTTAGAAACCCTAGGGCACCCATAACTTTGCTAAAACCCATCTGCCACCTCCCTCTTTCTCTCTATTCCCAGTTGTGTCCACCATTCTCTATAAAAAGGACCCCAAGGGCCCTGGAGAAGGGGTTGGTCAATTCACCCAGTTACAAGGCTAAGGTTTCTTGAGGAGTTCAAGGGTTGTAGAAGGGGAGGACGCCCAATTCTTGTTAGGAGGGGTTCCTGCAAGCTGTTCAACCAATCTACAACTACCACCATTGGATTTGATCAACCATTCTTTTCTTTTCTTTATTTTCTCTTCCGTTATTTTTATTTCTGCAATCTTTTAGATTTAATTCTTGTTCGTTTCTCTGTTTTGCATATCTAAATTCGTTTGATTCAAGGCTAAGGTGTCTCGAGGGGTTCGAGGGTTGTATAAAGGATGGACACCAGGTTCTTGTCAGGAGGGGTTTCTACAAGCTGCCTGGCCGATCTGCAGTTACCGCCACTAGATCCAGATTCTAGATCATTTTTATTTATTTATTTATTTCATTTCCTTTGTTAATTCCCATACTTTATTATATTTTGATTTTTATTTATTGTCTTGTTTAAATTCGAAACATTTAATTTCAGCAATAATAGATTTTATTTTCATATTTTCTACCATTCTTGATTGCATTTTCTTGTCCGGACCTAAGTATATATTAATTTTTCACTTGCTTCCCTGTGTATATGACCCGTTCTCACCCATTTACTACGTTAGTAGTTGTTTGAGAAATGGTAAAAATTATAAATATTAAACTAGTGTTCCGAAGTGGTTAACGACACGCTTCTAGAGACACCAACAGAGCCTAGATTCTTAAGAGAGAAATGACGAGAAAGCTCCTGAATGCAATTATGAATAGCACTCTGGGAGTTCCTAATCAGTAAGACATCATCCACATAGATAAGGAGATACAAAGTAACATGTTTAGAGCAAATCACAAACAGAGAAGTATCAGTAGTAGATGCTTGAAAACCCATCTGTGCTAACTGATGAGTGAGACGAGCATACCAAGCTCTTGGAGCCTGACGAAGTCCATAAAGGGCTTTGTCCAACTTGCACGCATGGGCTGGTTTGGCAGGATCCTCAAAACCCTTGGGCTGTCGAATGTAGATATCTTCACGAAGCATCCCATTCGAGAAAGCATTATCAAAGTCAATTTGATGTATACACCATCGGTTCATCATAGCAAGAGAGAGAATGGTGCGAATGGTTACGGGTTTGACAACCGGGCTGAAAGTAGCTGTAAAATCAACCCCGGGAATCTGAGTAAAACCTTGTGCGACCAAACGCGCCTTGTACCTGTCAATGGTACCATTTGCCTTCTGTTTGATCTTATAGACCCACTTGCTCCCAACCACATTCATGTTAGAGGAATAGGGAACAAGACTCCAAGTATCATTAGAAACCAAAGCATTAAACTCCTTAGTCATGACATCACGCCAACGAGCGAATTTGGCTGCTTGGGAATACTCGGAGGGTTCCGAAGTGTCATCACTAAAATGAACTA